TGCTGCTGATGTACGACCCAATCCGGGAACCTGCCATGATGATTGCGTACCTCGGTGTGCTGGTGAAGCTGTGCTCCTCCTTCCCACTGCTCACAATGGCGAGTCGAAATGCCATCTACTACATTGTTGGGTGGGATGTTGACACACTGCCCTTCTGGAAGCACTGCATTGTTGTTGTGAGTCTAGCTGTTTGTTCATTGCTCTGTGGCCTGTTCATTCCCAATATAAACACTGTGTTTGGATTTGTTGGTGCAATTTGTGGCGGTACGTTGGCATTCCTCTTCCCAGCTGTCTTTATGATGTACGGTGGCAACTGGTCGCTGAAGTCGGTTGGGTTTGGACACTATGTGCTCACATACACGTTGATGATGACTGGTGTGGTGGTTATAGTGTTTGGCACAGCCTCCACTATATACGGTGCGGTGGTGGGTGACAAGTAGGAACGGATACTGCCAAACGCCTTTTATTTAATTTCTTTCTTCTGACAGCGTTAAATTGTAGTACTGTGAATGTAATGTTGTTGTTTCTTGTTTTGTTTTTTTGGTTTGAGGTTGTGGTTGGGGGTTGCGGCAAAGGTGTTCCTCCCTTCTGTGTGAATTTACCTTTCTTTGAAATTCTGTCATGGTAATATCTTATTACATGGAACTACAGGAAGTCATGGGTTACGTTAACACAACCGGGGCCTTGTTGTCTGATTATTATTAATTGATTTGTTTTTTTCTCTCGTCTATTCTACTGACCCTGTACGTGTTTTCCCTGTTCCACATTTATTCCACCGTGTTTTGGCTTTCGCACCTGTACTGTGCCCCCACGTTAGCTTTTGAATGGGAGAGAACGTGTACTCCTTTTTCCTTGCTACAATCAATGACTCTGTTATCCTCCTTTCTGCTTGCAATAGTGAGACGATGCAGTCGAACAGACTTACAGTTCCGCTCGATGAATCAGCTGGTGTACTGGCATAATTGTAGACTGCCACCCATGACTACCGACATTCCAAACACACATCCACATTTATGTAGTTTGAAGGGTAGAAGATTTGAGTGACCAAGGGT